AAGCAGTTACGCTCTGTTGTAGGAAGGCATGAACTCCTCCACCATGCTTTTCCAGGCTTCTCTTTCAAGCCCCTTCTAGACTGTGTGTGAACTCAAGTTCTCTCTCTCTCTCTCTCTTTTGTTTTTATTTTTTAAAAATATTTCTTTTCTTTATTTGAAAGCCAGAGTGAGAGGAGGAGAGAGGGAGAGAGAGTGAGAAAAAGAGATCTGCTGACTTTCTCCCCAAATGGCTACAGCAGCCAGGGCTGGGCCAGGCAGAAGCCAGGAGCCTGGAACTCCATTTAGGTCTCCCACATGTGTGCGGGGGCCCAAGGACTTGAGCCATCTTTTGCCGCTTTCCCAGGTGAATCAGCAAATAGCTAGATCAGAAGCAGAGCAAACAGGATTCTAACTGTTGCTGTGATATGGGATTCCAGCATCACAGGTGGTAGTTTAACCTGCTGGGCCGTGACACTGGTCCCTGACCTCAAATTTGTATTCAGTACTTCTTTTGACTAACAACATTTACAACTATGTTTGTATGTATGTGTTTTAATTTGATTGAAAAGCAGAGAGACAGTGAGAGACAGAGATCTCCCATCTGCTGGTTTATTCCCAAAAACCCAGTATAGGTCAAGCTGGGTCAGGCTGAAGCCAGGAGCCTGAAACTCCATCTAGTTCTCCCATATGGATGCCAGGGACCCAAATACTTGAGCCATCCCTACTGCTTCCTGGGGTGCACATTAGCAGAAAGCTAGAATCAGAAGCACAGCCAAGACTCAAACCGAGGCATTCTGACATGGCATATGAGTATCCTAAGTGATATCTTTTTTTTTTTTTTTTGACAGGCAGAGTGGACAGTGAGAGAGAGAGACAGAGAGAGAAAGGTCTTCCTTTGCCGCTGGTTCACCCTCCAATGGCCGCCGCGGCCGGCGCGCTGCGGCCCGCGCACCGCGCTGATCCGATGGCAGGAGCCAGGAGCCAGGTGCTTTTCCTGGTCTCCCATGGGGTGCAGGGCCCAAGCACCTGGGCCATCCTCCACTGCACTCCCTGGCCACAGCAGAGAGCTGGCCTGGAAGAGGGGCAACCGGGACAGAATCCGGCGCCCCGACTGGGACTAGAACCCGGTGTGCCGGCGCCACTAGGCGGAGGATTAGCCTAGTGAGCCGCAGCGCCGGCCCCAAGTGATATCTTTACCACTGCACCAAACACCTGCCTTTTACAACTGATTTTGTATCAGGTATGGAGCTGTACAAATCCTATGAGGTCAGAGCTACATGGGATTGGGATCTTAAATAGTGTGATAACCATCATTCTTTGAGAGCTGATAACTTTGTATCTAGCAACAGCTTCTGTTTTTCCCACACAGGGAACTCTGGAGCTAATGGTCTATCAGCATGCCCTACCAGACCCTTATACTCCCATTTTTAAAAAAAAGATTTATTTTATTTATTTGAAAGGTAGAGTTGGGGCCGGCACTGTGGCACAGTGGGTTAACGCCCTGGCCTGAAGCGCCGGCATCCCATGTGAACACCAGCTCGAGTGCCGGCTGCTCCACTTCCTGTCCAGCTCTCTGCTATGGCCTGGGAAAGTAGTGGAGGATGGTCCGGGTCCTTGGGTCCCTGCACCCGTGTGGGAGACCTGGAAGAAGCTCCTGGCTCCTGGCTTTGGATCTGCACAGCTCCGACTGTTGCGGCCAATTGGGGAATGAACCAGCAGATGGAAGACTTTCTCTCTCTCTCTCTCTGCCTCTCTTCTCTCTGTGTAACTCTGACTTTCAAGTAAATGAATAAATCTTGGGGAAAAAAAAAAGGAAGGAAGGACGAAAGGTAGAGTTACAGAGAGGCAGAGAGAGAGAGAGAGAGAGAGAGAGAGAGAGAGAGACGTCTTCCATCCACTAGTTCACTTCCCAGATGGCTGCAACAGCCGGAGCTGTGCCAATCCAAAGCCAGGAGCCAGGAGATTCTTCTCGGTCTCCCACGGGGGTGCAGGGGCCCAAGGACCTGGGCCATCCTCCACTGCTTTCCCAGGCCATAGCAGAGACCTGGATCGGAAGTGGAGCAGCTAGGACTCGAACCAACATCCATAGGGATGCCAGCACTGCAGGTGGCGGCTTTACCTGCTACATCACAGCGCCGGCCCCTGTATTCCCACCTTGATCAGTGGCTGGGTGGGAGCTGACTCCCTGGAGGGGCTGAGAGTGTTCTCAGCTGCTGCAGTAACAAGTCCTTCAGCGACGGACAGCTCTGCGTGCATCTCAGTCACCAGTGCTACCTAAGCTGCAAGGCATGCTGGAAGTTCCCCTTTGGTAAGAGGGAGCCAAATGAAGTCAGAATAAAGCACAAGCCAGTGAAGCTGGCAGGACCGTGAGACGCCTTTGAGGTTGAGTCCAGTCTCCAGGGCAGGTAGTGGTCATTCTACCCAGCACAGTTCAGAAATGCTTCTAAGAGGTCTCTGAACCACGCTTAATGAAGACTCAGGAAAGGGAAGAGAGGCAAGTTAGACAGAGGAAGTAAGCCAGGGCTGGAATAGACCAAAGCTGAACTTGTCCTCCATTCATCTTGCAGAAGAAAACTACAGTCATATACTATATAACACCATTCAGTTAGAGTGTATCACCTAGTGACGTCACAGCAGTCAGCTGGTATCAGTATACCGTATGATGTTCACACAATGAAATTGCCTGCAGATGCATTTCTCAGAATTTATCCCATTGTTAAACGATGCATGACTATATTGTCTGCTTTATTAACTGCCCTTCTTGTGTTCCGAGAGGGGAGACAGGCTGGTGCAGTAGCTGTGGGCTACTTCCTGCCTATTTGCAAGGTAATATTGTAACCCTTCCTGCCTGGATGGTTTAGAGCTTGGAAAATCAGGGAAGAATCCAAGAACATAGTGTCAAGGTGCCATCAGCAGGGACACAAAAGGAGAGAAGGTAAAAGAGAATATGTTTAGATTCAGGAGTCGATGATCATGCAGAAGTGAGTCTTAAATTATTCAACCTCCTTTATTGATTGATTGATCTCTATCTGCAGGTCTTGGTTTATTCTTGGTCGGTATTTCCTGTGTCTGAGACACTGAGAAGAGAAATAGGAGGACAAAGAAACAGATTTTTAAGACTGGAGAAGAGAGCTGAGGCTGAGCCAAGGAGAATTTGGCAATATGTATCAGGAATCTTAGAATGCCCATCTCTTTTGACTTAGTGGTTCCCCTTCTGGAAATGGATACTAGAAACACTATCCAGAATCTTTAAGAAAAAGCTTTAAGTGCTAATGTTCACAGCAGCCTTTTTATAGCAGTGGATAACAGGAGACAACCTAAATGTCGAACAGCAGGTGATTGGCAGAGCACCATTGGAGCTACAAGATGCCATTAAGAACTTCAAATGATAACATGAGAATAGATCTATGACATATAGTAGCATAAAAACTCTAACGGAGCAATCAGACTTGTACATATAGAATGTCATAATATATAGAAAAATGTGGATGGAACAAGGAAAAAGGAAATACACTAAAATGGCATTTGGCATAGCAATTAAGATGCTACATGAGGGCCAGTGTTGTGGTGTAGTGGGTAAAGCCCTCATCTGTGACACAGGCATTCCATATGGGTGCCAGTTCAAGTCCCAGTTGTTCCACTTCTGATCTAGCTCCCTACTAATGTGCCCAGGAAAGCAGCAATAGATGGACCAAGTGCCTGGGCCTCTGCACCCATGTGGGAGGCAAGGAGGAAGCTCAGGGCTCCTGGCTTTGTCCTGGCCCTGCCTGGGCAGTTGTGGGACATTTGGAGAATGAACCAGCAGATGGAAGATCTCTCTCTCTCTCTCTTTCTCTCTCTCGCTTTCTTTCTAACTACCTTTCAAATAAATAAAAATAAATCTTTTTTTAAAGATGTTGAATGGGATCCCTGTGTGCCATAACAGAGTACCTGGCTTTAAGTCATCCATTTCCAATTCCAGCTTCCTGCTTAGGCATACTCTGGGAGGCAGCAGGTGATGGCCCAAGTACTTGGGTTCCTGCCACCAACTTGGGAGATGTGGGTGGGGTTTCTGGCTCCTGGTTTGGGCCTGGTCCAGCCCAGGCTGCTGCAACCATCTAGATAGTGAACCAGTGGATACAAGATCACTCTCTGCCTTTTGAATAAATAAAAAATAAATTAAAAATCTTGAAAATATATTAGCAATGATTGTTTTGAGATGGTGGGAATCCTTTATCTTTCCCTATATCTCAATTTTCTATAAAAATGATGTGCAAGATTTACATAATTTTTAAAACTCTTAAGTGGAGTTTGGGAGGAGGGACCCTCATATGAAAGTGGCACTGATCAGGATAAACACAAATCACTAAGGACCCAAATCCTCCAAGACCCAGTGTGTGGTTGTGTCCCAGGTAGGCTGACCATGGACTTGGCTCAGAACACGGAGTTAAATGTAGAATAAGTGATGCTGTGGCTGATGATAATCAGCAGCCCTTTGACTCACATTAAAAAAAAAAAAAAAAAAAGAAGTATGAATTTTCCCAGCAGAGAAAGGGGAGGAAGTCACGTCAGAGGCATGTGAGAAACGCACGCAGGAACCTTGGGGAGAAACGATGGAGATGAATTGGAAAGGAAAGTAACGGTTGTCAGGGGTCATGGGTGCTAGGCGGACAGCCTTTGTGTCTCTGCCGCAGGCAAATGGGAGGCTTGGGGAGGAGTCTTCAGCCTGGGGTGCTGTCGGGGGATCTGCAGCTGTCATTCCCTAGGCCCCAGTCCAGTCTGTTTCACATCATTCATCAGAAACCAGGCGAGGCGGGGTAGGAGGGGGTGCAGTCCAGAGCAGCCTCTGGACAGTCAGCCAGGCCTCCTGACCCCAGTCTGGGCCCCTTCCCACCACGCCAGGCTCCATCCCCATTCCTGGGCACCCCCACCCCCACCTTTCCCCCCATGACAAAGAGGCTCCTTTGGAGCCTGGGCAAGATTTGCAAACGTCAAACTTGTAATTACAAGGATGAAATCATCTGGTTCTTTTTAAGCAAGCGGGTTTATTGATCCCAACATTGAAGAAATGCTATTCTGAGGAAACTCGCTCCTCTCTGCTTTCTTTTCCCCACAGCCCGGCTGAGGTGCTGAGAGCAGCGGGTGGCAGGGAAGCTTCGAGGGGGGAGGAGTGCCTGGAAGGGAGGGAAAATACTTTAGCATCTAGTTTTATGGTAAATGAGTTATTATCTCAAAAAGAAAAAAGAAATCTTTAGGGCTCAAGAAATTGCCATGAGCAGAGAGATGACACCTTACCCTGGATTTAGGTCCATCTCCTTCCTAAAACCAGGAGCTGAGTGGAGTCAGGGCTTTCGGCACAGTGCCAGCCACTAATTTCCTCCTCTCCCACTCCCCTCAAGTCTCATCTGTGGCCCCAGATCCTATTTCAGCTTTGAGATGGTACAATATTCCCTCAGTAATTGAAGGGAAACCATTTCCTTAGGGGAAAAAAAAATGACTAGAGGCTCAGAGGCCTGGGGGGGGTGGGGTCCCACTCCATCCACGGACACCAGACCTGGATCCAGCCATCCTTTCTGCTGGAAGCAGGGAGGCAGGACATCCAGGCCTTGCTCTTCCAAGTCAAGGCGGGGCAAACAGCTGGGCCCAGGGGCAACAGCCATGTGCTCCCACAGGGCACACGGTAGAACTCCTTCATGAACCTGCTGGGAGCTGTCTGGAACATGGCGGGGCACTCAGGAGAGAAGACCCCAGCCACAGCTCTCATGAGGCCACAGCTCAGTCATCAGCGAGACAGGCAGGACTTCTGGCTTCTCAGCTCAGTTGAGACCTGAGACTAGAACAGTTGAGACCACAACCTTGAGGTTACTCAGCCCCTCTGAGCCTCCGTTTCCTCATCTGTAGGGGAGGGCTGATTATAAACCTGCAGGATTGTGGTGAGACGTGAACCAAGATGCTGTATGCTCAGTGCTTAGCCGCCTTGTTATCACTAATGGGCCATGGTCTTGTCCCTGTCCCACGCTCACTGTCTTACCTTTTTGAATCTGTTTTTCCCTGACCTATCAGATGGGGACTTAGAAGGTGGTTGAGTGAGTTAACTGAGAAACAAGAAAGCACTGAGCTCAGAGTTTCATAGCTGGGCTTGACGACCGAGGGCTCCCCAGCCCCTGCTCAGCATCACTGTGCCTTCTCCCCACTCCCACTCGAGACCAGTCTGCAGGTCCTGCAGGCTCAGCTGCCACCCAGGAAGGTGAGGAGTTGCTCAGAGAAGGTCCGGGACAGGCGGAATCCCTGGGAAAGGGAGGCTCCAGGTTGTGGGACTATTCAGGATTCAGCGAGGTTTTGGGGCGGCGGGGAGAAAGTGTTTGTAGGCAGTGAAGAGACACCAGGCTTCCAGCTGTGAGCCTTAGTAGAGCTGGATCATGGCAAATCTGTGTATAGTGGTGGAATCTGGATCAACCTATATCCAACCAGACAACTGCCAATGCTGTTCGGAGCGTGGACCTAAACCTAACTGACATGGATGAAAAATTTCTTTATATATTTTCTTGAATCCCATTTTAGAAATAAGTGAAAAAATTCAAACAGCAACAGCAAAATGGCATGCAGAGGTCAGCCGAGGAGACCTCCTTCAGCCTGTGGTTGGCTTCCCGGCTGTCCTGGTCAGTTGGATGCCAGACAACGCTGAGTGTGGGTTACCCTGTGGCCTGTGGGTCTGCTTGGCAGGCTTTGCGATCCCTCTCTCTCGGGACATAATTTTCCACCGCCATGTGGCTGACCACTGGAGCACCCTGGCCTGCTCTGCGTTCCTACCCCTCCAGGTCCAGTTCTTGAATCTGACATTTTCCTTACCAAAGCGCATGGTGTCTGTCTTGCCATCTAAGCTGTGCTAGAGATATTTTGACGTTCATTTATCCTAGGCTTCCCAAGGCAGGAACAGTTATCCCTAGAGATCAGCTGCAGGTCTGTGAGCCCTACCTAGACACATTGTGGAGTAAGAGTGCTTCCCTGGGGTTATTTTGTAAGACAGAAATGAAAAGATACATTCAAGTGTCTTAACAGAATGTGGTGCTACTAAACCATATCATATGGGATACTCTTGGAATATGTGTTACACTTTTTTCCTATCCTAAGGGCCAGCAACAGAAGTTCCAGGAGGGAACTCTGTTCTCTTGACCAGGGATCTTCAAACAGCTCTTGTCTGACCAGGAGCAAAGTCATTATCTTTTTCTCATCGAGACAATGACCGTATTGTCCTAGTGTCCAGAGGTCTCCTTAGCTGGATGAGAAAACTTGAGGGAGAGGCAGCAGATGCCTGAAGGTTTATACTTCCTTGACTGACTTAATTCTGCCTTAGTATCTTGGGGTAGAAGCTCCCTCATTTACCTCCTGCATAAATTGCAATTATTTAAGGCTGGTTTTGTCTGCTCTTTGCCTATGTTGATATGGAGTTTTCCCACCAGTTTGATCAGAAATGTTATGTAGCAAAATTAAATTGGCATCCTTTGCAGATGTAGGTGCTACAGTGGTCCCACAGTGTATTCTCATTTACTCCCTCCTTTTGGAGAAACTGCTCTTCCAACCATCAGACTCCATCTAAGGATGCCACTCATAGGCTCCTACTGCCTGGTGGGAGGGCATATGACCTAAGTTGACCAATCCTATCACCATATCTCCCTAGACATAGTGATCTGGCAGACAGAATTCTATGTGACCTGGGATAGCCTTTCCTAGTAATTTTAAGACTTGAGGGGTGAGCATTGTGGCACACTGGGTTAGACTACCAACTGCACTGCCAGCATCCCATATGAGCACAGCTTTGAGTCCCAGCTGCTCCACTTCCAATTCAGGCCCCTGCTAATGAGAAGGTGGACCAAATGCTGGGGTCCCTGCCACCCAAGTAGAAAAGCCCAGATGGAATTCCTGGCTTCTGACTTCATCCTGGCCCAGTCCTGGCCATTGCAGCCATTTGGGGAGTGAACCAAATCCCTCTCCCCCTCATCTGTCTGTAAATCTGCCCTGCAAATAAATAAAATTTTTTAAGTAAAGATTTGAAGATGGAGGAGTGGCTGCTCCGGTCCTTTGCCAGGAAATGAATGCAATTCAAGCGAGCCTGAGATAATTAAGCAGCGAGAAGAAATGGAGAAATGAAAGAGAGTACAAACCAGATGTGTTTATCTGCCCCTCTAATTTGTTTACTTAAAATAAAGCACACCTCTTTTAAGTTTTCAGTTTGTAAGAATTGGGTTTCTGTCATTTTCAACTGAAAGAGACCTGAAGGGGAAGATTCTGAGTTGGGGCCCGCATTACGGTACAGCGGGTAAAGCCGCTGCCTGCGACACCAACATCCCACGTGAACACCAGTTCCAGCCCCAGCTGCTCCACTTCAGATCCAGCTTCCTGCTGATGCACCTGGAAACGCAGCAGAGGATGGCCCGAGTGCCTGGATGGAGTTCCAGGCCCTGGCTTCAGGTTGGCCCAGCCCAAGGCATTGTGGAAATTTTGGGTAAACCAGCAAGATGGAAGATCCCTCTCTCTGTCATGCTGCCCTTCAAATAAACTAAATCTTTTTTTTTTCTTTTTTTTCTTTTTTTTTTGTTTATTTTATATTTATGTGGCGGGCCTGGACAGGGCAGGATGTGACCAGTGAGAGAGAGAGACAGAGAGAAAGGTCTTCCTTTTTTCCGTTGGTTCACTCCCCAATGGCCACTGCAGCCGGCGCACTACATTGATCCGAAGGCAGGAGCCAGGTGCTTCTCCTGGTCTCCCACGCAGGTGCAGGGCCCAAGGACTTGGGCCATCCTCCACTGCACTCCCGGGCCACAGCAGAGAGCTGGCCTGGAAGAGGAGCAACCAGGACAGAATCCGGCGCCCTGACCAGGACTAGAACCCGGGGTACTGGTGCCGCAGGCGGAGGATTAGCCTAGTGAGCCGCGGCACCGACCAACAACTAAATCTTAAAGCTATAGTTGGTAACAGTAATGCCTACATCCTTCGTGTTTGTACACACAGGTACATTGAAACAGGCTAGGTGTGGGACAGGGGAACAGGCCCTAGAATGGAGCTGATTCTGTGTTTGCTACTCAGAAACAGTGTGCCTGTCCTAGCCACCTCCCTACAAGTTTGAAGTTGCCTAAATCTCCCCCCTCCCCAACCTTAGGCAATCATTCTTTGGATGACCAACCATTCTGGTTTGCAGGGGAATGAATGAATGGCTTCCCAGGATGGCAGACTTTCATTGCTAAAACCAAACGGTCTCTGGTAAACCAAGACAGCTAGTCATCCTCGCTCAGTCCCACTATCTGTAAAAACGAGATTTGACTGGACAGGGATGGAAAATTCTGCCAAATCCTGCATTCAAGCAGACATTACCAGCTGATCTTGGCACTCATCGCTGGGTTCAGGTGGATCCTCACAGTACGTTTTTGTCATCCGTGAACTGTGTTCTTGTCAAGCTGGAGTTTCAAGAATGAGGATTATTAAGGACCAACTCTGAGTCAAGCTCTGCCATAAACCTCCTGTGGAACTTTTCTCCAGTTTGGATACATAACTTCCCTAGAATTTATGGATCTTATTTTTTAGGACTTGAGTGTACATTTGGGTAAATATGAGGACTGGCAATGAGTTATAACTATCACCCAGCTTATCTTAAGAAACTTAAATTGAGCACCCGTTACATGCTAGACCCAAACAAAGGCTCTCACACTAACACTGCGAACTAATTCGTGTCTGCATTTTGGAAGTAAGGGAACTGAGGCTTAGCTGGCCAGTTTGGAAGGCAAGGAGCAGGCGGGGGAGACTGAATGGGATCCATCTTACTCCAACCGCCACGACCTTCCCACAATGATTCAGTTGGTTTCTTTGGTTTGTTTTCCCCTTTGGCCTTCAAGGTACACAACCTAAACCCCTCGCCATCGATCCGGGGACACAAAGTCCCCAAGGACTTGGGTTTCTTCGGATTCAGTAGACAGCCTAGGGTTACTCTCCGCGGCGGGTGAGCCCAGAAGTTCCAGATGGCTGAGGAGAGGGCGGACAAAAAGGCCGGCTAAGGCCGCACCCGGGAGGGCCAGGCAGACCCCCACAGGGCAGTTCACACTGAGCGGCCAGCGGACACCCAGGTGGAACAGCGCGGCGCTGCGGGAGGGACCTGGGCTAGCCGCAGCCCATCCACCCCGCAGGCTGGCTGGCGGCGCATGCGCGGCGTGGGCCGCGGAGTTGTGAATGGTGCGTCTTGTTTGCTGGAGTTTGAGGCGGGCGGGCGCGCGAGGAGGAGGGGTGGGGCCGGCGGGGGCGGGGCGGGCAGCCGAGAGAGCGAGGTGGGCGGCGAGAGGAAGTGGCGGCGGCGGCGGCCGGGGGCGGCGAGAGCTGGGTCTGCGCGGGCGGTAGGCAACGGCTGAGGCGGCGGCGGCGGCGGCGGCGGCGGCGTGGGCTGGGCTCCAGCGGGCGGCGGCACCCAGACTCCCCGGAGCGGGAGCCCACGCGGGCGGGCGCCTGAAACAAAGAGAAGCGGGAGTCCGGGCGCCGCGGGTGGGCGGTCAGTCGGTCAGCGCGCAGCCGGCCAGCGGGTGTCCGCGCAAGCCCCGAGCCCGGCCGGCCGGCACGGCCTCAGGGCGGGAAGATGCCGCGAGTCGTGCCCGACCAGAGAAGCAAGTTCGAGAACGAGGAGTTCTTCAGGAAGCTAAGCCGCGAATGTGAGGTGAGGAGGGAGGGCTGGCGGGGGCGCGCGCTGCGGAGGCCTCGGCGCGCCCCGAGTGGGCCCGGGCGGAGAAAAGTTTGGGCGGCGCGGTCCCGGGCAGCTCGGGCCAGCGCGCCCGCGGACGGGCAATCTCGCCGGGCGGCCGTCTGCCCGCAGACTGTGCTTGGCCTTATCGGCGCCGCGCGGGGCGGGCGGGCTCCGCGGATTTGGCTCCTGATTTCGGGCCGTCTCTGCCTTGCAGATCAAGTACACGGGCTTCAGGGAACCGGCCGCACGAGGAGCGCCAGGCGCGCTTCCAGAACGCCTGCCGCGACGGCCGCTCGGAGATCGTAAGTCGGCGGGGCCGGGGCGCGCGGGGGCGGGCGCCGGCCCCGAGGCGCGCGCGGGGCACTTGTTGCGCGGGGGCCGCGCGGCCCGGGCGGGTTCCGGACGGCGCCGCGGCCGCCGCGGCTCCCGGAACTGAGCGGGCGCCGTCTCACTTCCTACTCGGGATTCAAAATGCGAAAGCAGACGCTGGCGGGCCGGGGCTCGCGGCGACCGCCGACCCCGTGGCCCGCCGCGAGCCGCACGGAGCCGGGGCGAGGTGGTTGAGCGGGCAGGGGTGCGGCCGGGGGCGCGGGGCTTCCTTCCCGGCGGCGGCGGTTCGTGTCTCAGCGGCGGGGCTTGTCGCCGAGGTGAGGCTGCCTCACTGGCAGGGCAGCCGAGGAGGAATCTGTTCCCGTGGGAGCTATTGTTCTGATCGATTGGGAGCTTGGGGGTGGGGTGGGGGGACCCTAAGGGTCCTGCCGTTTTGCTCTCGGGGGAGTGAGAAGCCCTCCCGTCCCGTGGGTGCCGCAGTTCCTAAGGAAGTGAGTGGGTCGCCGTGCGGAACCCCCAGGTGGTAGATTAGGTGCCTCGCCTCCATCAAACCTTGAGTAGAAAAAAAAAATCCAAGTGTCCTACTTCCTGTCATCGCTTTTCTGTTGGTCCTTTCAGAGGGGCTAATGAGGAAACGGTAGGAAGAAACTGAAGAAAAAAAGGTGGGGGGCATTTTTTTTTTAGAAAGTTGAAGCTCTGGAGAGTGGAGTCCGGTTGCTCCTCTCGGACCCGAAGCCGCAGTGCAGTTGGACTTGGGTTAATAGGAAGACACACTAGGAAATTTGCTCCCGCCCCCTGGGTAATCTAGTTGCTTATTTTTATTGAGGTGTAATTCGCCTGCCATAAAATCTTTCTTTTTTACCACCAGAGTCAAATTTATTTTTAAAGAATATTTTGATATTTGGAGGTGTTTTAGAATTATGTTCGGATGGAAGTTATTCGGTTAATTTCATCCGAGCTCTAGAATATTTCGTTGGTACTGCATGCTATGAAAGCAAATCTCCAGCTTTTAGCTCAGTTCCAAGTTTCTTTTTTTTTTTTTTTTTTGACAGGCAGAGTGGACAGTGAGAAAGGTCTTCCTTTGCCGCTGGTTCACCCTCCAATGGCCGCCGCGGCCGGCGCGCTGCAGCCGGCGCACCGCGCTGATCCGATGGCAGGAGCCAGGAGCCAGGTGCTTTTCCTGGTCTCCCATGGGGTGCAGGGCCCAAGCACCTGGGCCATCCTCCACTGCACTCCCTGGCCATAGCAGAGAGCTGGCCTGGAAGAGGGGCAACCGGGACAGAATCCGGCGCCCCGACCGGGACTAGAACCCGGTGTGCCGGCGCCGCTAGGCGGAGGATTAGCCTAGTGAGCCGTGGCGCCGGCCCCAGTTCCAAGTTTCTTCAGGAGCTCTGATAGTTATATACTTAAAATATGTGACAAATACTGGAATGGCAGAAAAAAGAAGTCATTTGTTAGTTGATCCAGTGACTTCTGTCCTTTGCCTGGGTTTCTTTTTTGCAAAGGTGGATTTATCAATTTATCAATCAGCCCCAAGGATTTGCTGCAGGTAACTGAAATAGAAGTGTCATGGATGAGAGACTAGGTACCACCGTTACCGAGTTTTTTTTTGGTTTTTTTTGTTTTTGTTTTTGTTTTTTTTGAAACTTAGTAAAGCATAGCTACTAGAGTGTTTTCTGTCATATCACACTTGGCTGCATGTAATTATGAATTGGGGCTTTAATTCCTCCCGTTGTATATGTGGATTGCTGTATTATGTATATTGCTGTAATGTGTACCAGTGTTAAAGGTCACTTGTGTTTGTCATAAATTCCCTTTCAGGGTGAATTAGACACTTTCCAAATACCTGATCTCATAAATTTTAATATGTTTTTAGTTTCCTATGAGTACTAATGGTGAAAGCGATACATTTGAATTCTTCATATGATTTGCGTATGCATCCTTTTATTGAATAATATAACTATCTCTAGTTTTTTCTCTTTAATTCACTGTCGTCCCCCCCCCCCCTTAAGTTACAGGATCCTCAGCTTGTAGAAGGTGGAAACCACGTTAACTATGCCTATACCTTTCTAGGAATAGGTGCTTTGCCTTATAGGTACTTGATTATTTGAATTTAGAGATCATTTAATGTAGTGACTGAAATTTATCTGATGACTTTTAAATGCTTTGGTTTCTACCTATTTGGTTGTGGGAAAGACAATATTTTGCCTCTATTTTGACAGCAGCCATAAATGGTAAGAATTATACATAGTTCTCAAAACTATTCCTAACTTCTGTGGCCCCAGTTGCCCTTCCATCCTCTTTTTATTTTGAACATCTCTTTAACGTGCATACGTCAGTGAGATTAATGAGAACATTATTTCTCATTTGGTTACGGAAGGGTTTTAGAGCTGCAGTGGTCACCTCTCCTATAAAACTCAAATTCTTTATCCTAACATGAGAAAAAATGATTATAATGGCAGGTAGAATCTGCTTGGTCAAATCTGGTGTGTTTCTCTTAGGAATTCTTGTCATAGTAAGAGTGGTAGGTGTGTCTTCAATACTAAATAGTGACTCCAGTGTGAGAATTGAAAACTAATATTGTGAGTATGTTTTTTATTCTGAATATATGGGATGGTAAAAAGAATTAGTTTGGCAAAGTGTGCCATTTTATAATTTGTGAAACGTATAAAATATATTCAGGACAACCTGGAAATCTTACATATAGTTATAATATCAACGTAGCAGTTTTGTTGTAGAAAAGAAATTTTCCCAACTCTTACATGTGTAGGTATTGCTTTAAAAAAAAGTTGTACAGTCAAGTAAATTTGGAAAATGCTTTTCTAGAATGATCTGTTTTTATCACTTCTGTCTCAGAGAGGGATCTTGATGAGATAATGGGCATAAAGTGATGAAGCAGGAAATCTCTTCTGAGGTTGGTGTTCAAACAGGAGGTGAGGTAATAGGTTCTGCAGAGTGTCTTAGCCCAGAGCTGACTTGGGGCAGATGGAGGTGGAAGCATCTGCTGCTAGGTGAATGCCAGGCTGAAGAGCCATGCCTCTGTCGACACAGGGTCATTCCTGGGCTGGTCTCTTATCTGCCACCACCAAGGAAAGGGTATCCCAGTTGATGAGGGAAATGCCATCAGAGGAATCTAGAGGGTTAGCAGTAAGGTTGACAAATGTACCTAGAGCACCAATAATAGAAATAGGAAGTTTTAAGTTTTACCTCTAAAGAGTAAGCTGTTAACCATCAGGGGAACTAGTGGACAGCTGAATCAGCGGATGGCTTTAAGCACTTTTCCCAAAGTATGAGCCTCTTGCTTTTAGGTGAAGACTGCTTAGAAACAAAATTATGGTAACTTAATTAGTAACATACCAAACAAAACTTTCTCTAGTTTCAGAAAAGAAGAGTTTAGATGATGGAAAGTATATTTTTCCAAGAATGCTTTTAACTTCTTTCTGTTTTTCCTTTGGGAAGATGAGTAATGTTATTTTTTTTTCCACTTAGAGGAATACGGAGTTAAATTGCTCAGGGGCTACATAGAATGACACTTTATTGAAATGGTTTTAGATTGTTCTGTCTGTTGAACTGAACCATCAGAATCTTAAAAATATCAGATAAATAATCTTCTCTTTGTTGTAGTCAGATCCAGTTCTCCTAAAGTAAAATTTTAAAACATGCATTTTTTTTAAATCATGGAAGGTTTTAGAGAGAAGTGCTGTCACATCACTTGCTAATGTGTGGTTTATCATGGGAGATACAATCCCAATTGTCTTTTTTTTTTTTTTTAAGCATGGGCTTTAAAGCCTAAACCTATAATGCACTTTTGCATTACTTTTTTTTTATGTACCGCACGCCATATAGTGATTCTTTGAGCAAGGGAAAGCAAGAAAAATTAAATATCTCATTTATAAAACATTAAGTCGTGATACATTTTAACAATTCAAAATCATTAGATCTTCAGTGATTTTCATATTTAAAAATGTAGATTTTTAGGGGCCGTTGTGGCAAAGCAGGTTGAGCCATAGGGGCATCCCATATGGGCGCGATTCTAGACCTGGCTGCTCCACTTCTATCCAGCTCCCTGCAATGCTCCTGGGAAAGCAGTAGAGGTTGGCCCAAGTGCTTGGGCCCCTGCATTCACATGGGAGACCTGGAAGAAACTCCTGGCTCCTGGCTTCAGCCTGCCCCAGGCCAGGCCATTGTGGTCATTTTGGGAGTGAACCAGCAGATAGATCTCTGTCTCTCCTCCTCTCTCTGTAACTCTGCCTTTCTAATAAATAAAAAATAAGTCTTTAAAAAAAAGTAAGTTTTTAAATGCAAGGATAGTAGCTTCTGGCTAGACATTAGCAATGTGAGATCCTAACGTCAGCAAAAAATGACCTGAAAGAAAGTATTGATTCTATGTCTGATTTTATATTTAAGCAGCCAATGGAGAATGTCCTCAAAATGGAATCAGATGTTTGTAACTTAATACTTAAGAAAAATGATGAGTGCATGTTTTTTTACTTTTAAGTATTCTCAGTGCTGCCTGGCTTAAGACATAAACTGATGTAAAAATAAATGACTGCCTGCATAATTTATGTAATGTCCTGCTCCTGATCCTGTTTGTATTGATTTTTCTAAAAGGCTTTTGTGGCCACAGGAACCAATCTGTCTCTCCAGTTTTTTCCGGCCAGCTGGCAGGGAGAACAGCGACAAACACCTAGCCGGGAGTATGTCGACTTAGAAAGAGAAGCAGGCAAGGTAGGAAACGTTTCTTTGCAATTGAAAATACTGTGGATTGTTTTATTGGAGATTATCCAATGATTTCCAGTTTAATAAAGAGATCACAGGTCTGAATACAGATACATGATCAGATTTGTTTTCATTCCATGTTGTAAGGATGTAATACAGTTTTTAAAAATCAGTTAAACTTTTATATCACTTATTAATTTAATGTGTGTAATATTTGTCATACAAAGTTCTAATCCTTAACATGTGCTTTTCTACATTTAATATTCAATACTTAATTCTTTTAAGAATGGTGACAGGAAATTTTTTGTGTTTACTAAAATATATGTCATTATACTTCTATAAAAAAAGGAAATTAAGAGAAAAATAGGAAATGGCTCTGTAGGCTTAACAATTAATAGTATTTAGAAATAGCCATGGGTGATTTTCTAATTCTGTTAATAAAGCAAATTTAATTTTGAGAAAATATGAAAACTTTAATTTGGAAATTTTTTTTGAGCAAAAGTTTCTGCAAAAACAGAAAGATGCTTTACAAACTTTGTTAGCAGGTTTAGGTTAAATGTAAGAAAAGTGTCGATGAAATGTTTAAGCCATATTAAAATCTAAGTTAAATGTATCATTATTTTGGTGGAACTTTAATGAATAATATCTTTGATCAGTTGATCCTTAATCAATAAGTCAAGGAGTTGGCTTCTTGAAATAAAACTTTTAATGAAAAAAATAATTGTTTTGGATTCAGTTTTATATTCAGTATTTCTCCTATTTCCTTGGTTGGTTTCCATACTTCTTTCTCTCAACTTCCTAAATTTTCTGAATGTTGTCATGAATAGCCTATAACCTATTACTTTATTCGCAAAACATAAGAAATGTCTAAATATTTTGAAAAAAATAGATTTTTGTGTTAGTAAAAGAATGTCTAATGATATATATAAATATATATAAAGAAGTTTTTAAAAATGAAATTAGGCTTGATTTTTTTATAAGTAATGAACTAATCTTTGGATTGGGAGAGGGGAAATAGATTACATGATTTTAAAAAATGACTAATAAATAATTTGCTTTCCATGTATTAGCTTGTTTGCTTGGAAAATTAAAGCAAATATTCTAGATTTTACTATTTGGTAATTCTTATATAAAATAACTTGAGAAATCATTGTAGAGTTGTTTTTTGTCTCATGCATATATGTAACTAAATAAAGAAATTTTCCTTGTTTAAGCACTTTCTTAAAGTTTGTTTAATGTGGTAGCTCAGATACTAAACACATAAACCAAAAAAATTTGTTTTCCCCTCAATTTTAAGACTTCATAATTGACATTTCAATGTTACTGAAGCCTTCTAGTATTTAAAAACTAATAAAGGTCTTGTTAACCCTGTTAGAAGCTAGGGTTCATTAGTTTGATGACTACATTATTCCTAGACATAAGCCATTGAGATATTTTTGATTATGCTTGTATGACCAACAGTAATGAAAATGTTAGATGGCTTTTACTCTCATATTTTCAGATCTCAGAAAAAATGATAAAAGTTTGTTTTGTTAATATTGATTTTAAAAGTTTTTTTTCTGTAAAGGGACAAGTATTTTTAGTTTCGCAGTCCTAAGCCTTGCTGAACTCTGCTGTGTAGTGTGAAAGGAGCTGTGGACAGTATGTAAACAAATGAATGTGGCTGTGTTCCAAGAATGGTAACACTGATAGAAAGCAGTATCTTTTCCTTAGATGTAAATTTGTAATTATTCATGTATAGATCATATATTTCTCAAATATAATTTTGCCAATACCTGTGATGTATCAGGATAAAGAAGGGGAAAAAAGGATATTAAGGCAAAAAACTCCTGGTATATTTCTGCGTTACACTGGGATAACTGGCATAAAGTACTCCATCGAATTTAGAGAAAAGCTGATACTCTGTGTTTTCTTACCCAAGGGGCTCAGACCATGGGGTCTCATTTCTCTTCTTCCTTTTTTATGTTCTGTTTCTTAACAACCGTTAGATTTTTGTTCCATCGCCACAGGACTAGGACTAGAAAAAAAAAAAATTGAAGGAGCTTCTCCAAATGTTATTTAACTCTGCTTATACTGGATTCCAAGTCAGTGTCATCGTCAGTATTCTCTCAGTCTAGTTACTTGCTGAAACAGCTTCATTCTCTTCCTATTCATACCCAACTTTGAGAAAATTGTAGAAGTTAAGATTTTGGAATTAGGCGTAATTGAGTGAAGTCCTTCATTTATTACTCTGTAATTTTGAGCGAGTTGTTTAACGATTAAGGTCCTCAGTTGTAAAATAAAGTTAATGCATACTTCTCAGGATGTACCCTAGTGGTTAACTGAAATACTGCATGTAAAGTGCTTAGCCCAGTACTGGGAGTTACTCAAAAGATTCATTCATCCAGAAAGTCTTATTAAACATCTATTATTGTGTACTGAGCATTGTCCTAATAAGCACTTGAGATAATCTGTGAACAAAATAAAGGTCCTGCCTTACAGATTGTTTTATGGGGGGAAAGGATTTTTCTAAAAGACAATACAGGTAATAAGTTATACAGTATGTTACAGAATGATAATAGCTATGAAAAAAAGGGAAACTAGAGTAAAATAGAGGGTGATCAATGAGCAGGAATGTTTGCGATTTTTAAATAGGCTGGTCTGGGCAGAGAATGTCTCAGCTGAGACTTTAAGGAGGTTAACAATGACACAAAGGAACAGCCAGTGTAAGGGCCCCATGGTGGGAGCATGCACCTTGTCTTTGGTGAACAGCAAGCAGGGCAGTTTGGCTGGGTAGACTGGAAAGGAGCAGGTAGTTGATGAGATCATGGGGTAAGTGGGAACTACTTTATGTGACCAGGATAAGCCATTGGAATGACATGGACTTTTATTCTGAATAAAATGGGAGGCGGTTTCAGAATTTGGATAGATGAATGATCTCCATTAGGTTTGGACAGGATCACTAAGTAACTGCTGGGTTAATAAACCATAAGAGCAAGGGTGAACCAGAGAGACCCAGTTTGGCTATTGCAGTAATCTTGGTGAGAGACTAGGACGGGTAGCTGTAGAGTAAGTAGTTACTGGTGGATGTATTTTGAGATAGAGGCAATCGGATTTGCTTATGGAATGGATGTGGTGAGTGAGAGAGGAGTTCAGAGTGACTCCAGCTTTTTGGCTAGAGCAACTGGGAATATGGGATTGCCGTCACCTGAAAGGCAAAAGACTATGGACAGACAGAGCAAAGAGAGAGTTAGGACAATGTGTAGGGCATGTCAGTTCATAGTAGTCGTTTGTCACTGTAGCCTCTGCTTCATCACCAGTGACCCTTCGCTCCTTAAGGAATGACACTTTTTTTGTATGTAACCCTTCATCTGTTTATCTCAACAGTTCGATGGCAATTGAAGTATAATTTATATATTATAGCATCCACTCACTTTAATTGTATAAGTGGAATTTTAACAATTCAAGATAATATTTCAATCATCCCTCAGAAGTTCCTGTATGCCCCTTTATAGGAATCTGGAGTGGTTTGGAGGTTGGCTCAGGGTCTCATGAGGTTGCGGTAAGCTGTTGGCCAAAGCTGTGCAGTCTCTGCAGACTCGGCTAAAGCTGAAGGAGTCGCTTCTGAGCTCACTCAGTGCCGTGAATGACTGCTAGGCAGCTTCAGTCCCTAGTTACGTGTGCTCTTACAGGGAGAAGAAGAATGAAGTTACCATGTTTTTTATGATCTGCTCTCCAAGTCACTTGTTTCTTAACATGCTGTCCGTGAAAAGCTAGTCACCAAGTCTAGCCACACTCAATGGGAGGGGCTTGAAACATGGATTTGAATCCAGGGAGCCTGGGATAGATGGGGCCTTCTTGGAGGCAAGCTGTAATAATGTTCACTTAAGTTGAGTGAATTTGGAAAAACTTAGAATGCTTATAGAGGGGAAACAAAAAAAACTATTTGAGATATAATTTTGTGTGATAAAATGGACTTATAAAAGCCAGTCCTTTTACTAATTCTTTTGCTTATGTGGTTGTAGGAATATTTTAAAACCAAGGGGCTTCAATAAGGAAGGTTTATTAATGGATGGTTGACTGTAAATAGGTACTTTATATAAGATTAGGTCAGAATATATATATATTTAAGATTTTTTATTTAGAAAGGCAGAGTTACAGAGAGAGGAGGAGAGACAGGGATCTTCCGTCTGCTGGTTCACTCCCCAAATAGCTGCAATGACCAGGGCTGTGCCAGGCCAAAACCAGGAACTTCTTCCCGGTCTCATGTGGGTGCAGACGCCCAAGCACTTGAGCTGTCTTCCACTGCTTTCCCAGGCACATTAGCAGGGAGTTGGATCCACAGTGGACCAGCTGGGTCTCAATCTGGCACCCATCTGGGATCCTGGTGTCACAGGCAGTGGCTTAACCTGCTGTGCCACAGTGCCGGTCCCAAAGTTTTATAATTTGTCTTTCAAAAAATTTGGAACATTTACACATTTGTCTAGTGAACTGTCTATATTGGCTCCTAAAAAAATCTGTCTCAGATTTTAAAAGAATATGGTATAGTAGAAAGAGCTGTAGGCTAGAGTCAAAAGACAATCACAACCACTTGCCTTATCTGTAATTGAAATCTGAATATTTGCTGTATTTATTTACCTCATATAAGAATTAAATGAGATACTAGAATGTGTGAAAACATCTTTTAAATTGTAAACTCCTGTGCAGAGTTTTGCTGTTTGATGGTGTTGTAGGGTGAGATTATCGTTAACAGTCAAGGGGTTTTTAGTGCTGTAGCACTACACTTCAGGTAGCCATACCATGTTGGAACGCCACATCTTCCCCAAATGATCCGTCTTGGTGTGTTAATAAATGTTTGCAGCCAAAATGTTTTTAGTTCTTTAAACTGCTTTCCTTTAATTTAGCTGTCAAAAGACAAGGAAAATGCAACTGATTACTCTTAAGTTAAAATTTTGTAGACTGAGCAATTCTTTCCTCTTAGGACCTATTTCCAGTTATTTTTAATTTCAAATGAATGCAAATGATTATAG